AGACTGTTACTGTGTAGACTGTTACTGTACAGACTGTTACTGTACAGACTGTTACTGTGTAGACTGTTACTGTGTAGACTGTTACTGTACAGACTGTTACTGTACAGACTGTTACTGTACAGACTGTTACTGTACAGACTGTTACTGTGCAGACTGTTACTGTGTAGACTGTTACTGTGTAGACTGTTTCTGAGCAGACTGTTTCTGAGCAGACTGTTTCTGAGCAGGTTCTGGACCAGCAGGACCCTTCAGAACCTTCTTGTGAACACCTGCAGACAGACCCAGTTTGGTCAAGCAGCGCTGCACGGTGGAGGTGTGCACCAGCAGACCTTCAGCTGCCAGATGTTCCTGCAGCTCCTTGGCRGTCATGTGGGGGTTCTCTGTGATCTTTCTGCCCAGCTCATGGGCCATTTSTTCAGAAATCTTTCTTGGTCTTCCAGATCTTCTCCTGACCTCCACAGATCCTGTTGATTTCCACTTCCTGATGATGTGTTGGATGGTAGAGACAGAAAACCCAAAACGCTTTGATATCTTCTTATATCCTTTCCCTGCCTTGTAGGCATCAACAAGCTTCATTTTCAGGTCAGAGCTGAGTTCCACCGACGCACCCATGGCTGCAGCACAGTAAGAACAGGTTTACCTGTTCAGGTGGGCCTGCAGAGACAAGAACACAACCAACAGTTTGGACCATGTGAGCCTTGACACAAAGTCACAATCATGTAAAATGATTTCAGCTGACAACAAGCCCACAAACTGTAGACAACAGGTAAACTGTTGGAAACATCATCAGATATCATAAAGTTCTGATCTTATATTCATCCCTGTCTGCAGTTTCAAACTCAAACTGAAATATAATGTGAGCCCTACCAGCTGTTTACTCTGAGTCACATTAATCCACTTTCTCCATCAGTTCTTCAGATAAAACACCTGTAACAACACATACTGTCAGTCAACAGAAGTACAAGGATTATAWGAGAAGAAAGGCTCGTGTGTTTCCTGACAGTGACTCACAAAAACAACAAGAAACACAACATTAGCTTCGTACAGCTAACGTTAGCATGTTACCTTGTTAGCACCGAACCTTTAATAAATCTTTCTTTTTTATCAGTTAAAAATCGAGAAACCAGGAAGATGTAAATCTGATTCAGTTTCTGATTCTTCACCAAAACTCTTCATTTAAAAAACATTTGTAGATTTAAGTGCCGACGGCCAGAGACAAACAACAACACACGTTAACGCAGCTCGGTCACTTACGTACGTCATGACGTCACAAAAAGACGCGCCAGTATCTCTTCTTCTTCTTCTTCTTCTTCTTCTTCTTGTCGGTTTTAT